AATGTTTATACGTGCATTTGCAGCAACTGGAAATATGCATGGCATGCGGTGGTGCATCCTGACCGCTCTGGCCCGAGGAAGCGCACTAAATCGTGACTTTGTAATCGAAGCCCGCCGGGTCACTGGAAACCTGCATCGTCAGCTAAGCTCAGCTGAAGGGTCGAAGGATGTGTCTCGGGACATGGAGAAGGCAGAATATCTGTCCCATGCTGTTGAACTACTGGAGAAGAAGAGCCAAGGCGATCCCCAGCTTTGGCAGCTAAAGACCAATCCGACGGTGAAAAAGGCCGGTCGCCGGCTGCTAAAGCGCCCTCTCGATGAACGGCGTCTGTACAAGAAGGCCCATCTTCACGAGACTATCGAGGGCTGGGATGAGGAATATGAGTTGGAGGCCGTGCTAGGCCGCATTGACATCGATCCGAAATCGATTGCACTTCGATGGAGCGAGAAGCACTGTCTGGGGCAGATTCGTGAAATTGACGATCTGCTGTGAGTTTGAGATGGCATTTGTTCTATATCACTTTCACTATTGTTGTATTATGTTTGTATTTCCGGCTGTGTGCTTGTGTATATATCCCATACTGCCATGTTCAATACTGTGTATACTACTTGTGATCTTCTGCAATCTGCATTTTGTTGGATGCCAAATAGAAGTTGGCTCAAAGTTTTTGTCTCGTAATATCCCGCCGAATGCTCAGTGCAAAGGCTAATAAGCTTCCTAAAGGAGCAGATTCGGATTAACCAGTCACTCAGGTTTGCACAATACATTCAAAAACTTAATGCTGTCCGCATAGAGTCGCACCGATATCAGCAGAATAGATTTACACACATTAACTTAGCATTCTCACTAGTGTGGACTAAATTTAGGCGCAGGCTCGCGTTCTGTCTTGATTCCGGTTTCACTTTCTCTTGGCTTCGTATTAGAGTTCATCAGCACCTCAATCTTCTGGCCCGTCATTTCAAAGTGACCACAGTATCAAGAACCATGCCTGCCTGTTCCGAAATAGAGTTCTAGAAAATCATGGCAGAAAAGCACTATAGTAATCAATGTTGCTACAGAATCACGCCTTTTCTTGAAGCTATCCAGTATGACATCCATCACGGGATAAAAATAGCTTCGGAATCATGCTAGTATGGACCCTAGTGGGTCGAACCTGGCGACCAAGAAATCTGGCCATGAAGCTATTTATTTCGCCTTCCGCCATCTATAACACGGACCACGCCCTTTGAATGACATGCTAAAAGCCTAATAATAAAACCCCGAGCCTGTCCCCTAGCTACAAGACTCCAACCCTCATCATGGCTCAGAACATCGTGACTGGCGCCTGCCTCTGCAGGAATATCGCATATCGCATTACCTTGCCAGACCCAGAGACATACCCTAAGGTACTATTGGACATTCTTAACTAATTACAATGACTCAATCAACTAAGTCGGTCACTGACAAATACCAGCTCATCATCTGCCACTGCACCAACTGCAAACGCTATACCGGCTCCGGCTTTTCCGCCAACATCATTGTCCCACAGACCAGTTTCGAGTATACCAAGGGCACACCCAAGTTGTATACCGACAGTAGCAAAAGGGGCGTGCAGGTATTACGTGAGTTCTGTCCTGATTGCGGAACACCATTTACTTCACGGTCGAGCGACGATGAGGAGGTTGTTGCGGTGAAGTCGGGCACGCTTGATGATGAGCATCGGCTTAAGTGCTCGGAGTTGGAAATGGAGATATATCATCATCGGAAGGATGGGTGGGTGGATGGGTTGGGGAGTGAAGGGGTGAAGAAAGTTGATGGTAGTATGGGAGGTTAGAGAGGATGAAGTATCTGCCCTTAGGAGCCATTGCGATTCTGGCTGGTGATTTCGTTTTCCAGTAGGATCAGGAAGACAGAACTAGGGATGTGAGATAAGGCACTAATGCACGAGGAAGGAAATGGGCTTGCCCTTCGAGGAGCTTGTCTGTCTATACTCTTATCTACAATATATTGAGCGTTGACTACGCCAATGCTGGTCATTGGCTAGCAGCCTCTGGCTAGTCACTATCCTTAGCACTAGTGCTCTTATCAACGCATATACCCATGTCTATGGCGCGAACACAAGGGGGTCGATGGGACTATATCAGCAAATGATGCTGCCTAGTACCTCACTCCCCTCTCAGTAGGCCTTTTGTTCCTCCCATCATCGGTTATCATGACTGCACCCGGCATCGAGCATTGGGTGACCGCAGCTGCGCCAACCGAAAGCAGCCTTGAGCATCTCCAACATCAATATGCTGGATACTGTCATGCAATCATGCCACACTTGGGCGATGCAAAGAAAATTCCAGTGACCCTCTATGAGTTCCTTTCAGCGAAACCCAACACGTCCGAGTTCATCCGACTGGTAAACCAAGTCCCTCAGATCAAGCATCTATTGCAAAACCAAGACTATTCATCCACCGTCTGGGTCCCAAGCAACACCGCACTTGAGCAACTGAGCAATGAGCTATCTGAGGAAGATATTCTGGCCTTCCTTCAAACACACATCTCTCCATACTTCGGTCCATTATATTTCCTTCTAACAGCCCCAACAGTCGACACACTTTTTCATCCTGACCGATTGAACGGTTCCCAGAGAATAACAGTCCGTCCTTCACTCAACGGCCTTCGCGTGAACTCCCACGCAACCGTAATCGAACAAGACCATCTCGTGGGAAACGGTCTGGTCCATGTAATCGACCAAATTCTGCCATCGCGACCCACCATTGGAGCTTTTCTCGCTGCTCTGCCGTCATCCGAATTTGACCTGTTCCAGTCTGCAGTGAAACAATCTGAAGCTATTCAGAATATTCTCCTGGAAGAGTCTCGTCGTGGTGGAACCGTATTCATTCCCACCAACGAAGCCTTTTGCAGGCTGCCTGAGGACGTTCGGACATTTCTCTTCAGCGATGAAGGGTCCATCTCTCTGCAAGCTCTTTTGAGGTATCATGTCATTGCGAATCAATCATTGTACTCGAATCGTCTTTATGACCAGAACTCTGCACCAGAGCATTTTGTACAGACGCCACAAGATACCCCTGATCATACGATTCCTACTCCAGAGACCCAGTCGGATCGGTTGTGGCGTGTGCTCAAGGGAGTTCGTCGCTTCTCCTTGCCTACGTGCTTGGATGGGCAGACGCTGGCAGTTGCTGTAACCCGATGTGGGGGCCTTATCTCAATGAAGGTGAATGGAATTGCAAACGTGACTGTACAGGATGGTTTAGCTAGTGATGGAGTGTGTCATGTTGTGGACTCGGTTTTGTTTCCACCTCTACAGAATGAGGATGCAGAAGTTCAGCCAGTACTCTCTGTTGAAGATGTAAAGTTGAGGTTGGGGGTAGTTTGCTTGTCGTAACAGCTGTGCCTGATCTTGTTACCCATATGGCTTTCTTTCTGATAAGTTACTTCATTTGCATTGATACTTATTAACTTCCAAAGCTTACTGCCTTCTTCCTACGCTCATTTGCAACGATTAGCTCGTTGATATACTGTGCATGCCGCTGGTATACTCTTCGGCAATTACTCGATAGTATTATCTATGTCTATAACCTTCCATCTAGAAAGTCTAGTTCTGAAGTTCCACACCCCTCCTTACCAAGGAAAGTATCACTCTTAGCCCCATCACTCCGCAATTTCAACAACCAACTTCGTGCAACTCACTCCCCGACCCAACTCATCCAAGCCATCATTAAGAGCCTGTAAGCCCCTCCCAACAACCCTCAGCTCCGGACTCGGTCTGATCTTCCCCTTAGCAATATTCTCCCTTGCCCACGTCTCCAACCAATACCGAAACTGATCCAACCTCTTCCCCTCATCATCCATCGATGGCACCACAAAGATGACTTCAACCCCATCCGCCCCCTTCATATCCGCGGGAATGACTGGCGCCGACGCAATCTTCCCCTTCACTTTTTCATCACCATCAAACCCCACAAAAGCCCCCAGCACACCCTGACACATCCGTACATCTCCCACCGCAAGAAAACAATACCGAATCACACTTCCATCCTTCCTAGCCGCCTCAACAATCTCATCCACAACACTCGGGTCTCCGTAATCAAACACCCGATCCGCACCCAGTGATTGTATATACTCATGATTCGCCGTCCCAGCAGTCGCATACACAGCAGCGAATGAAGAACCAGGTTGATCCCGAAGCACTCGGGCAACTTGCACACCCATCGAACCAACGCTAGATGATGCACCCCAGACCAATAACACCTCTCTTTTCTTCACGTTCTGACTCTTAGTCTTATCATTATTTTGAGTATCTCCCGCCCGCAACATAACCCCCACACTCTCCCACGCATTAAGCGCTACTTGAACAGCAACAGGCAACGTAGCCGCCTCGTTCCACGACATCACACCCTCATCCGGAAGAGGCATAACATGCTGCCACGGAACAAGACATCGTTCCTGAAAAGCACCATAGTCCGGATCGCAGGCCTTCCAGACGGAAGCAGAGTAGGCGGCGACGCGGGTTATTCCTGTACGGAAATGGATGGGGACGTTGGTGCCGACTTCGAGAACTAGACCGGACAGGTCGAAGCCAAGAACTGTTGGATAGGAGGGGATGAAGAGGCCCGTGTCGCGCATGATGGTGTCTGCTGGATTTAAAGCGATAGATTTGACGGCGATGAGGAGTTCGTTGGGGCCTGGGGTGGGGGTCGGGCGGGTTGTTAGAGTGAAGGGGGAGGATTTAGAGGGGAGAAGGGCGGCGAGATGGGTGGCCATTTTCTCCGATATAGTAGTAGTGTATATAACTACGGTGGTGGTGAGGCAAGTGAGTCTCTTAATAGGTAGTAGTTGTAGTGTAGTGTGGATAGAGGGTTCTTGTGGGGTTTCAAGCGAAGTTCAAGTTATTCTCTCGGAGGGAAGTTGAAATTAGTATTTCCAGGAAAGAGACATTGAGCAATAGTCTCCTTTTTATATCTGAAAGTATGTATCATGGCATGTCAATCACCTCTTGATGTATACTCCTAGCTGATCCTGGTGGAGGCAAGTGGCAGCCAATCAGCGCTGTCTGCTTCCGAGGGCGGGTTTAGCGTTGAGATGCAACATCCGAGACTCGGTTAGCGTATGACTAAATGCAGTTATTGGGGGCCATGACTACCACCCATTCCGAACCCTTCCAGCGATCAATTCCCTTCAGTCACGATGACATCGACTGACTCGGGTCCTGGCAGGTCACGGCGGAGATCGAGATTCGGGTGCCGCAATTGCAAGCTCCGGAAACTCAAGGTGGGTGCCCCTAGCACCTCGTAGATAAACCATCTCCACTGATCCATATCAAGTAGTGCGACGAAAGCAAACCACAATGCAAGCGATGTAGTTCATTCGGGATAGTATGCAACTTCCTATCGACTACCACCCCGGACCTCCACCCCATTGCCGCTGACACGCGACGGTCATGGATGGTTCGAGGTGCAGCAGCAGCAGCAGGACCGCAGCCCCCTCTCACCAATGCCGTCTGGACATCAGACGCATCGACCTTCTATCAACTGAATACCAGATGTCAAGACTTTATCACCCGGTACCTAGGACGCAGTCTCATCACCCCTGATGATCCAAACATGGGACATGTGAATCGCAAGCTCCTAGAACTGGCCTTTACTGTAAGTTGACCATTCCCTCATAAGCTCCAATCTTGGATACTGATCACCACATTGTAGCATCCCTACTTAATGCACGCCTCCCTAGCAGTATCACTTACCTACGACCGCCATCTGAACAGCCCACCAAAAAGCCACCGCACCCTAGAAGAATGCTACCACTGGTCACAAAGCACCATCCTTTTCAACAAGAAGCTCCGCGAACAAATAGACCCCAAAGACAGAGACCCAATCTGGGGTACTGCAGCCGCGTTGGTAATCCTAACCTTCTCATCCCCTAACGCACGCACTCCGGAAGAATCTTGGCCTTTGAACCCCTCTCCTTCTTCCCATCTGGACTGGGTGTATATGAATAAGGGCAAAATGTCCTTGTGGAATATAGTCAACCCGCTGCGATCGGATAGTATCTTTCATGTCATGGCGGGGACGTTCGCCTATGTGCATTCGCCGTTGCCTGAAGGAGGTACAGAGGGTATACCGCCGGCTTTGGCGGCGCTGTGTGGTATCACGGAGGATTCTACGGCTAAAACGAACCCGTATTTCCAAGCTGCTCATGCGGTAGCGCAGATCTTGGAGGTTGAGGATAGTGAAGTTACGATGGGCCCGGTGCAAATGTTTATGCGGTGTATTCATGGTCGGTTTGAGGGGTTGCTGAGAGAGAGGGATCCTGTGGCGTTGGTGTTGCTGTATCTGTGGTATCGCAAGGCTGGGCGTTGTATTTGGTGGATTGGACTTAGGGCTCGAGTGGAATGTCCTGCTATTCGGTTGTATTTGCAGCGATATCATGGGGGAAATGGGGCAGTGTTGGGGTTGCTTCCAGAGTGTGGTCTTGGGGATAGGTGGGACTAGTAGTCCCAAAGTCTCATGATAGACTAGGTCTAGAGGAAAATTGTACGTCTTCTGCTTACAGATGCAATATAATCACATCTATGTTATAAACAAGCCAGTGTCTCATTCAGGTCGCCCTCTGTACCGTCTATATGAACCTACACAGCAACAGCTTGCCCTCACTCACCCGTCTCATCTCCTATATTCTCTCCAGAAGCCTCTTCGCCCTTTCACTATCCAGATCCTTGCAAAGATAATAATATTCCAACCAAAATCCACGAGCGACACTATAATCAGGCATATACTGTCGCAACAACGTCTTCCACTCTCTATCCTCCTCACTATCAGGAACCGAAGTGCAGACATATTCCCACCACACAGGAAAATACCCAGCCGTCTCCCAATCAATAATCCCAGTAAGCTCACCATTCTCCACCATAATATTCACATTTGTCAGGTCACCATGCGTAAAAGTATAAGGCATGGCAGACGGCATGCACTGTCGAAGCCGTACTCTTGCAGCCTCTGGGATCTTCTCATTCAACCCACGCTCCATCTCAGCCCATAGCTCGTCATCAGATGCAAAAGGACCGCGGGGAACCTCATTTAATCCCTTGTTCTTGAACAAGAAATTGGAAAACACAGGACGACCGCCAAGACATTGGATTTTATCAGATTGGAGATTGCGAAGTTGCTGGAGATACTCAGCGGTTTGCTTTGCAATTTTATTCTTTTCGTCTATTGTCAGTTTGGACCAGACGTTGCTCAAAGGTTCACCGGGGATGCGTCGCATCAGTATGAGCGTGTGTTTGCCCTCTTCCCAGGATTTAATGACAGTGGGAACGGGAATAGAGGTTTGCTCCTGCACGAACTGGATATTTGGTACCTCGGAGGTTGGAAGGTTGGAACCTCGATCCTTTAGTATCACCTTTGAGCCAATTGACCAGACGCCTCGGTCGCCGGCTTCGTAGAATAACTTGAGGTGGCTTTCGTAGCTGCAGTATTTTTGGCGTTCAGGGGTCCAGCTGCATGCTGTGCAAGGGGTTGAGCTCATGGTGGATGGATGGGTAGTGATAAATAGGAATATTTGGAGGGAGATACTGCAAAGATTCAGATGGAAGGATATGCGTGCTGTCAGTTTCAGTACTGCAGGAACTTGGTAGTTATAAATAGACCTTACTCACCCTTAGCCTTGTAACCCAGTTAACCCTTCTCTGAAAGATAAAATGTAATGAATCGGTGGCTATGGAGTGCCAAGTATTCAGGTTTAGGTAGCTGCATCACAGAAAGCCGGGAATAACCTTAGATGGGAACGAGAAAAAGATATCCAGCATTGGAGAAATGGATTGTGTCTTACGTATGAGTGGTTGAGCAGCGTGCCACTCGAGCAGTGTTGGCCCTAGACCCGTCCAATAGATGGGAGGTAGCCGCATACAAAGACTTTAGTGTAGACATAGCATTTCATAATGATTGCCACACACGCTACATATTCTACACTAATTGTTGGGCTTACCCATGCGAACACAACATACTTACACTGCATTTCGTGAAATCCGGACTTCACCGGATTAGTGTAGCACTAGGACTGTTCTTCTACCACGTGGTTTTATTTACGGCGATATTATGGTGGGACTGGAGATATATTGGGGTTCTCCCAGGGGTGATTAGGGGAATTTGATAGGTGGGTTTAGTTGTGATGCTAATGGCGTAAGAGGGAATATGGCACTAGTCAAGAGAAGTGCGCTGGAGTGACAATGATTACTAGCGCCTAGTCTACTACTCCCCAGATAAGGAAGTAGTGATAACAACAATGAACTGGGTATAACACACAGCCCTTTATATTAACGTAGCACATCATCAAGCCACATGAAGCCTAACTTACAATCCAATCCCCAGCATCACTATCTTTATCACTATGTCTCAAGCATCAACAATAGTATCTGAAATGACCACCCATTCAAACTCCCCCTTCCACCTCCGCCCCGCCAAACCCACTCCCACCGACCACGCCTTCATCCTGTCTGCCTTCGACTCTTCCCTCCCCCTCCTGGCCTCCATCGGCAGCCACGAACAATGGGGCTCAACTCCCTTCTCCCAACGAGGAGACTTTCCCCAAGAAACCCTAAAAGAACTCGACCAATCCGAAGAATATCGCCTAACTGGCAAGAGCAACATGGACGGTCTACGCATCTTCATCGTTGAAAGAGAATACCACCACGATAATGAGGATCATACAGGGTCTCTTTCATCCCACCTGCGAGTTACGTCCGACGGTCAATGCTTCCTTCCAGTAGGGTTTGCCTATGTTCGCGAGAATTGGGTTCCTAAATATGTGAAATCACAACATCACCTTCCGATGCCAATCATCCATAGTAGTACTGAAATTGGTGGGTTTCTCTATCTTGAGGTTATGATTACGGATAGTCGCGTGGGTCGGCTCTGTCGCGGGGCCGGAGCGGCGCTTATCAGGGGCATGAGGGAGTATGCGCAAGGAAGAGGGATGAAGGCCCAATGGGTGGATGGATGGGCGGGAAATGAGAGAAAATTGATCAGGTTTGTTCTATTCTTATCATCTCTTCTTCTTTTTTTTAAGAGATTAAGTTGTTGGTGTTAACATATCTGTAAAAGGTACTATGAACAGCAAGGGTTCCGGGCTGTCGGGGATTGGAGTCATACCAGGGCGAACAATGTGCCGTGGTTGGGGACGTTGATGTGCATGGAGATCTAGCTGTAATCAACATATATCTGTCTCTTTGTTGCACTAACTAACAATATCTTATCGGAACCAATAATCACAACGAGTAATCAGCATTGATTGTCTTGATGTTAACCCCGCACAGCTGCATCTGGTTCCATCCCCGCCTCGCATCCACGGTCGGAAAGCTTGCAGGTCATGCGATGATGACCACGGATACCATCTACTTGTCTTTCCAAATGCGAGGGAATGCACAGGACGTGGCCCAAGCTTCCAGGCCAGCTTAGCACCGCCTTGCCCCTTTAGGGCAATGTTTCCATGGCCCAAGCAGCATCAGTGCATGAGAATCCGGGTGGAGACGGTTCCCTGGCCCGATCCCCGCCTTCCATCCGATCTGCTGGCCTGTCTTATCATTCCTGCACCTCAACGGTTGCGTTGCCCTTTTCGAGTATCCATCATCCATGATCGGCTCGGCCACGGAATCCTTGCCGGTGCTGGACCGGCCAATCTGGCCGGCTGCTGCCCTCACCAGCTGTCACTAATAGCTGGACCTTTCGCCAGGGACTGCTCACAATATGTAGGGCAGATTATCCTGTCGAATCAGCAGATGAACATCATTTCACAAAACGACGAAAGATGGCAGCAACACAACGTGTGGTCATCATAGGAGCTGGAATCGTGGGCGCCAACCTTGCTGATGAACTGGTCTCGCGGGGATGGCAGGACATCACCGTCGTCGAGCAGGGCCCGTTGAACCTGCCGGGTGGCTCAACCTCGCACGCTCCCGGGCTGGTCTTCCAAACCAACGGTTCGAAGACAATGACTCGTCTCGCACAATATACCGTTGACAAACTCCGATCGCTAAGTGATGAGAATGGCATGCCGTGCTTCAATTCGATAGGAGGTCTCGAGGTGGCCACGACGCCGGCCCGAGTCGAAGAGCTCAAGCGCAAGCTCGGCTATGCGAGGTCCTGGGGTGTTGATGCGCGTCTTCTAACCAAGGAAGAGTGTTTGGAGAAGTATCCTCTTCTGAACAAGGATCTCGTGCTAGCTGGTCTTCACACTCCGACCGATGGTCTCGCGTTAGCTGCCCGCGCAACCCAGCTGCTTATCGCCCGGACCCAGCAGGCCGGGGTCCGTTACCGAGGCTCGACGCTTGTTACAGGCATTGAACAAACAGGATCTCGTGTGACGGGCGTAAAAACCTCCCAGGGTATCATTCCGGCCGATATCGTCATCTCCTGCGCCGGCTTTTGGGGCGTCGAAATCGGAGCCATGGCTGGGGTCGCCATCCCTCTTCTACCACTTGCCCATCAGTATGCGAAGACGACCACCGTGCCCGCTCTAGCGAATCGCGACGTCAATCACCGTCCGAACGGAATGAATGCGAGTATGCCCATCTTGCGGCATCAGGATCAGGATCTATACTACCGGGAGCATGGAGATCAGGTGGGGATTGGATACTATGGACACCGTCCTATGCCGGTGGTGGCTGCGTCCTTGGGGCAGACTCCGGAGCACGTTGACGAGAAGCACATGCCCTCTCGACTCGAGTTCACGGCCCAGGACTTTGCGCCCGCCTGGAAGGCCTCGCAGGAACTGCTACCTGTTCTCCGCGAGACCCATTTGGAGGACGGATTCAACGGCATCTTCTCGTTCACCCCAGACGGGGGGCCCCTCGTTGGACAAGCCTCTAACCTCGACGGATTCTATGTAGCAGAAGCCGTCTGGGTCACCCACTCCGCCGGAGTCGCGCGAAGCATGGCGGAGCTGCTCACAGACGGGGCATCCACCATCGATCTCACGGAGTGCGAACTATCTCGCTTCGAGGAAGTACAGCTGAGCCGGGACTACGTCAACGAGACCTCGCAACAGAACTTCGTAGAGATCTACGACATCCTCCATCCCCTCCAACCGAGAGAATCTCCCCGCCAGCTCCGGGTAAGCCCCTTCTACGAGAAACAACGAGCACTGGGCGCCTTCTTCCTCGAACTCGGCGGCTGGGAGCGCCCATTCTGGTACGAAGCAAACGCACAGCTCCTCCACGCCCTCCCAGCACAATGGCAACCACCTCCCCGAGACACCTGGTCATCGCGATACACCTCCCCGATCACTGCCGTGGAAGCATGGAAGACCCGCAATGCCGTCGCCATGTACGACCTAACCTCCTTCCACCGCGTACAAGTATCCGGACCCGGCGCAGCCACCCTCCTGCAGCGCCTCACCACAAGCGACATCACCGCTCCTCCCGGCGCCATCACACACACCCTCCTCCTCAACAGACAGGGCAAAATCCGCAGCGACATCTTCGTCGCTCGTCTGGAACCCGACCTCTTCCAAATCGGCGCCAACACCGCAACCGACGTCGCCTACTTAGCCGTCGAAGCACGTCGCCAGAGACAACACACCCCGGCCCAATGGGTCCAGGTATCCGACATCACCGGCAGCACCTGCTGTATCGGCCTCTGGGGCCCTCGCTCACGGGCCGTTATCCGCGCCGTTTCCAACGACGACTTCTCCACCACCGCTCTACCCTACATGTCCGTCAAACGTGCCACGATAGCCGGGATCCCCATTACCGCGCTCCGCAAATCCTACGTCGGTGAACTCGGCTGGGAAGTCCAAACCAGTGCCGAATATGGTTCCCGTCTATGGGATGCGCTCTGGCAGGCTGGTAAACCGCACGGGCTTATCGCCGCGGGCCGTAGCGCTATGAACGCCCTGCGGCTGGAGAAAGGGATTCGGACATACGGAGTGGATATGACGACGGAGCATGATCCGCTCGAAGCGGGAGTTTTTCATCTAGTTGATTTGGACAAGAAGGAGGAGTATGTGGGTAAGGCCGCGCTTCAGAGTGCTGCGCAGCGGAAGCAACCCCCTTTGAGAAGGCTGCGGTGTTTGACTATTGATGATGGACATTCTATGGTAATGGGAAAGGAACCCGTCTATTTCGGTGGGAAGCCCGTCGGGTATGTCACTACTGCGGTGTTTAGCTATACAACAAAGAGGCCCGCTGCGTATGCGTGGCTGCCCGGGAGGGTTCGTGAGGGGGATGCAGTTGTGATTGAGTATTTTGGGAGGCAAGTTAAGGCAACGGTGTCGGCGGATCCGTTGTTTGATCCACGGGGGAGCAAGTTGCATCGGGAGGATACGGGCGCAGATGGATTTGAGACGCCGTTGAAGAATCGCTTGTAAGAGGGGGAGCTGGGGCGTTGCTGGGATGCATTGAGGATGACATGAGATATGATGAATGATGTAATTGAAGAGATATAGAGATTAGGGAGATCATCTGTATATATTCTGCTCATCTGCAGCAGATCCAACCACGACGATCAACAGACCCATCTATTCCAAACCAAAACCACTGCGAGTCCATAGTAGTACTGGTACTAGTTTGATGATCCACTCCCTCCCATCAACTACTACATCGAAATTCCTGATGCCTTCCTTCACCTCATCGCCCCTAATTTTCTTCACAAAAGCTCACCCCTCCCCGCATTCCACCAACTCCGACCCCTTCACTCCACACGCATGCAAGGTGTCACTTACCACCTTCGCTGCAGATCGTATCTGCCTGCATGTCTCCACACAGCCTCCAATCCCAGTATTGATTCATTGTAACCATTACTATGCAAATACAGGCATGTTTATAGACATACTAGCACTCTCGCAGAAGCTTGATTCATAAACCATATGATGTTAAAAGTAACGCTGCCATCCTTCGCCTGTTACATACCATCCACTATCCTCATTGAAGGCAGAGCAAACCTGGAGTAGCTGTGTTCTAGTGTTACACGGATCACACCCTCTCCACAATCTTATATTACGCATTCTGGTACATTGATGATGTTTTGATTTACACAGACTCGCGTGCCGAATTACAACCACGTACCAAGGCAGTTAAAGAGCGGCTCATCGCTACGGGCAATGAAGTCAACGAGGACATATCAGAGTATGAGATGCGCTCACTAATTCATGCATAGCTGCCCAACCTAAAGCATGTGGAAGGAGAAAACAACCCGGATGACTTTTTCAGTCGATGGACACTAGGCGATATATTAACAAACCGTGACCCTGTATCCTCTTAGACCGAAAACCTATCAAACACGAGCGAGCTTGCAAAAAGCATCAAAGATCGATAACCAGCAATTTATCTAGCTCAAACTCCACCTCCCGTCCTTGGGCCTCCAGCTCCAGATATCCCGGCGCACTCTCGTTGATAAGGCGGATCCAGAGGTCCCGAGATCCGTAGCCCGAGCAGAGGAACTTGTTATTCAACCGGGTTGACTCCAAAATTTCAAGAATAGGAAGATCCATATCCAAACTATTATTTTAGAAGGAATGACATTAGAGGAATAGATATCTGAGCCACAAAAAAAAAAAAAAAAAAAAAAAAAAAAAAAGAAAAAAGAAAAAGGAGAAGGAGAGAGAGAGAGAGAGAGAGAGAGAGAGAGAGAGAGAGAGAATATGGACGTACACTTCGTTATACTGCGGCGGGCCTCCAATGCATGACTCAACGATCTCGCCAAGATATCTACCCAGAATTTGCTCGAAGGCCATGGTTTGGCCCATATTCCAGGGTCGACGAAGGGTCGAGACGCGGACGTGGCCATTTGAGCTAAAGTCCACCAGGGCCAGTCGCCCTGTGGCAAGTCCCGGCGCATCGATCACGAACCACGTGAGGTTCGGCCCGTTGGCGAACACCACCGTGCCCTGGCGGGTCATGGAGATGGCGTGGAAATCCGCTGGAGTGAGATACAGCGAGGGGAGAATCTCGTCAAAGGTGGTGATTGGCGTGGTGGGCCCGCAGTCAAGGAGGTCCGGAAGGTGGTAGTTAGGAGCGGTGCCTGCTCCATGCTCTTCGAAGGGGTGCACCCCGTTCCATTCGTCTTGGTGGATATACAACAAAATCAGGAACTTCACGAGGTGGATATAGTTACGCGGATGGGTCTGCCGGTCCACGGAGGGAAGGCACAAGAAGCGTTTGTTGGGTCGCGGGGTGATCTGCGAAAGAACCGAGGCGGGGTAGTCGAAAGCCGAGCTGTATCCTGCGGAATGACTATGGTAGGTCTGCGAAGATTATAGTCAATCATACAGCCACGAGAGATAAGAGGAAGAGAGTACGGGCCTCGCGGAACTCTTGACTGGCGGTGGCCCATTGCTCTATTAGCGCTCGCCGTTGACGCAGCCCATCTTCAGGAGTCGATGTGGGCTGAATATTTTCCTGTTATCTGCACCGTCACACACGAAATATCATCAAACAAGTGAAGTGTGCATTTCCACAGACTCTTCCTTACCCGTACAAATAGCAACCATCCCTTGGCCTCTTCCCTGAGCTCTTCCTGGGATAAGTCCGTCGGATGCTGGCGGATCTCCGGTATGCCTGCCGGCCAAGACGCTTCTGATGTGGGCGGTGACATTTTGACTTTGAGCTCTGGTTATGAAGATTAAATGAGTTCCAAGTCCTCGAGAGCGAGAAGAGAAGAGAAAAAGACAGAAAATATATCGCCAGTCCACTGGGTTTAGGTGAGTTTCATGAGAAAAGTAAAAGGGTGCGCAAAATATTCCCATTGGCAAACTACTGTAGTACGTACTAATTGAAAATAGTCAGGTTAAGAAACATTACAAGACCCTTCCGTTATTCTAGTAACTACGGATTTTATTGTGGGTCCTAGCCCCCACTCAATCTGTCTATGTTACTGTGTACCCAGCCTCCGTACTCCGTACTATCTGCTAATTTGTGATCCCTCAACTATCTACACCCGCCGTAAGAACTATCGCAGACGGCCGATGCGCAATACTCGTCGGTAGATCCACTGTCAACTTGGTTAGCCTGCATAAAATGGTCTAACACCCGGCTATTTACTTACCAGTACCCATAGGTACTGCAACACGATCCGAACTGGGAGCCAAAGCATGTATAACCTCCATTATCGGCGCCGCAGAGCCCGTTGGTCGAAATTGTCCCGGAGCAAGGACCGTAGTTGGAATCACAGTTGGCGCCACAATAATCATCAGTTGAACCGCTACAGACGAAAGTCAGATTGAAATGAAAGATGCTCTAAGTCCAGTCGGGTGCTTTTACCAGTATCCGTATGTATCGCAACAATCCCCAAACCTGGAATTGAAGCAGGCCCAGTCGTTGTTGCTCGGCCCGCAGAGGCCATTGGGCGACACACCCTGTGGTCGTATGTATCTGTATACTCTTTTGAATTATTCTTAAAGTGTTCCAGTCTGAGAGTAATCTACTCGACCCTACCTGGCCCACAGGCATGAGGTGTGACGTCGGATAGTACGGAGCAGAAGACAAGCCATCTTTCAAAATATCAAATCGGGTATGGCATACATGCATTGTTCAAGGCGAGGTGTGTGCATGCAGAAGAATGAAGGTTGGTGTTTCCCGTTCTCGATGGGTTGAACCTACAGGGTAGGTAGGATAGCTCAGCTACGCCACAAGCGATTGATATATGCCGTGCCTATGCATATTGACCGAGCTGTATCGTATCGGAAAACTAGCCTAACCCCCAGCCGTAAATAGGAATGTAGGGTATGATCCTCATTTATGTATGTGTTTCTGTCTAGGGCTCCTTGCTGATCCGGGGATCGGCCTTAGGGCTGATCCCAACCAAGCCTGGCATATCATCGTGGGTTGATCACCGCCGGGGTTGGCCTCATTCTCTTTTTCTAGGTCTCCCTTTGTGACAGTTACATTCTCCTATCTGTAATGGAAAAGGTGCTTTATTCACCATAAAACATGTGGGTTGACAGTTATTTCTTGGAGTGCTAGATCTGAACTAATAGGAACTCAAGTAGACAAATAGAAGAGTAGCAAAACGAGTGGAACCCGCTTCTGGCCGGCCGAGCTTAAACTCCATTAACAATAGAGAACTCCATACAACGACCGAAGCTATCAATTTGCACTTATCCGTCCCTTGGTACCTCGCCCTTCCTGTGAAGCCGCGCCTTCTAACAGCAGAGCTAGCGTTGCCAGCTACATTAGCATGATTGCTGATAGTAATAATCCCTGGTCATTTGGAATATAGAAGGAAACTTACCACAAACACTCCATTGACTGGGCATCCAATGAAACAGGGAGTTGTGTTGCAGCATACTTCCGCATCAGTAGCAGCCTCGATACTGTTTGTAACATCGGCTGCGTTGACACTGTCCGCAGCATTGGCAGCATTGGCAGCATTAGCGGCATTAGCGGCATTAGCGGCATCCGCAACGTCGGCCGCGTTTGCAGCAGATTCTTCTCTCTGACGCACCACACCCGCCAGGCCGAATCCAGCGAGGATGGGCACAAGGACCATGGAGAACTTCATGATGGGCAGGGTTATGATTCACAGGAAGTGACTAATGGATAGACGGACGAACAAGGAGATGGTTGAGTATTGAAGTTGATGGTGGATGGAGAGGATGTGTTTGATTGTGTTGGTGTCGACTAGCAATAGCCGGGGTAATGTAGCCTTTTTATGTCTAAAGGCGAGGCAAGGATTACTTGGGATAAATAAAAAGAGAGAACAATTCCGACTCTTCTGAGCACTTTCCTTCAACATGCAAGGAAATTCATTGACCGCTCAAGTCGTGCGACGCGTTGTTACTCTCTCTCCCTCTTCCGGTTGAACTAGGTGGTGAGAAGAGACAGCATGATCCCATAAGCTCCACCAGATCAAATCAGTTTTTGAGATAACGCACTTGTTTAGGTAAATGTAGATTCATAGGGATGTGGTTCACAGCATATTGGAAGCATCAAGTACTACCAGTAGTGACACAGCATGTCTCTTGTATGAGAATGACCTAGTCAACAATTGGAAGCAGACGCTCAGACAAATCAATGTATTTGCGAGCCACGATATACTGAAAATACCCTACACAGAGAATACCAGCCTGGATCTCACAAAAGTTTTCATTCTCATTAATAGTAACATACAAATTTCCTGCGATAAAAGCAAATACATTCGAACTATATGCTAGATGTTATTTTATCTAGCCTGTCTCTTCAAAGGAGATGATTAGAACTGGTCTTTATCGGGGCTCCACCTACTCGTCGCTATGGCCACCACCCAACCCTTATCTATCATTCTTGTTCAGCATTTCCCCGCCTTATGCAAGGCTTGCGCAAGCCACCATTTGACTTGTCTGTGCTAAAGTACTATTCACTATGAACATTGTGGGATAACACTGACACCACTCTCATCATTGATCAGCATGATCATTAAGCCATTTAGCTACTTCTCGAACAATTCCGTATCATTCAATTATCCCTACTGTCCTTAGAAGTTTCGTGCTATTATCATAATTATCATTATGTTCACTTTGCGCCATCCACCGAAGGGGAGGCACTCCCCATGTGTCTCCTCCCTTCCTTACCCCGTGGGGCCTTTCACTGGGGCTTAGGCATAGTTAGACATGATATTATCCCCCTTGTCACGCACCATGTAGGATGCTGTGATATCTCTAGAATTCTCGTACCTAGAAAGTCAAACTTTTATATGCTTCCAGAAGCTTACATTGTTATACTAGCCTTAATACTATGAGTATATCAGCAGCTGATACCCAGACACAAAAGTATTTTCATGCATAATTTGCTCAATTAGGCCAAACTCTAGATATTTCTAGGTGGAAGGATCAACATAACCGTTTGTTTGCCGGTGTTTCAAGGCACCGCCCCTTCCCCTGCTTCGTCAAATCCGAGCTTTGCACACACACATATAGTCTCAATTAGCACCAGACATTCAAAGGCCATCTTGAGATGCGCTTTTATGAATGAGGAACCCCCGTACCTTACTTGAAGATTGTTCGAAAAGAGAGAGAAAAGAGACACAGAAGAAAGAATGGGGTTCTCCCTCAATGAAGAATAACAGAGGCTCATACAAACTCCATTCGACTGAATGACGAATGAGATGAAGCCAACAAAGACTCAGGGGTCTTGCAAGTTTTCTCCCCGGGCTATGCTTAACCTAACTCTTAGTTATCGAATGGATTGCTCTCCTGCTCTACTTTGCGATCGTGATCAGCACGCAGAGTGAGCGCAAGGAGGATAACTGCAAGTTCAGTCATATGTGACTCTTTGAGAGTATTGTAGGGACCAAATTCGTGCATCGTCAGAAATGATCGAGGGCGTTCTGGATCTTGTAAACCATGCACAATGTACCTGATGTACTCATCGTCATATTCGGCAAAGCTTAGCCAAATTTGATGTCTATCTTGCGAGACGTGAAAACGCCTGGGATTCCGAGTCATTTTAAAAGCACAATAAAACATTCTGAACGGCCTGCTTACCGAAACGGAAACTTTCCTGGTGATTGGGGATAACTCTTAAGCCAAGCGACCATCTGGGCACCCTCCTGCATACGGATCTCAAGCCGGGAATGTTCCCGGAGGGCTGCTTTCACTTCGATCAACGCACGAACCTCCCCATCGACCTTTCCTCGAAGATATCCGTCCGTCCTTGCCTCATACTCTGCATCGTTGAACTTGGCTTTGAGCGGCTTCCGGTGGATGGTCCAAGAGCTTCCAAGCGAAGGGAAATAGTCCGTGAGAGCTTGAAGAAAGCTCACAAGAGCAACATTTACAATTTGTTCATCATCGACTGGGGGGTACATTTCGCGTAGGAGCTCCTCGGGCCCCAGAGAGCCTCCCGTGGAAATGGACGCCGGTTCGGGGAAGTCATCGTCGTTACCCTCGGTTCCTGGGGTTACTGGTCCTGTTGCGGTAGCTTCATCAAAGATACTGAGCTGCTCAAGCGAAGGTAGGTTCGATCTAGTCGGTGTCGAGTTGGGCTTTTCGCGTCGTTCGCGGGTGCTTTGGCGCGTGTGCTTCGAAACCGGGGAGAACATGACATTGTTGGAAATTTCGTTGCTTTTGACCTTTGCTGCCTCAATCTGTGAATTCTTAACTAAGAAGAAGTTCCCCTCCTCAAGCTTGCCCCTAAAGCTCTCGCGATAGATGTTCCAGGAGGGATAAGACTGCAGCATCTCCTTAGCCTGGCTCATCCACGGTTCTAGGCCAAGCCGCCGGGGATTCAGCTTAGACCTGTGCGAATCCTTGCGAAGAACACGCAGAAGCAAATACTGGCGCAATTTGATCTTCGAAGCACTTGACAATGTTTCTTTGTGGATGTGTGTGTTGAGAACACCCTCCTTCTCTGCCAACTCGGCCCACTTAGTGGCTGTTGCGGGGACATCTCCGGGCAGCTTATTCATGACTTTCAATACAGCTCCAAATCACTGTGGGTCGTTTTCTTAAGAACAATATAGTAATGAATGCTGAGATAGCTGCCGCCCCGTTTGCTCCGAGTAGCTAGCGATATATCGTATTTAGCCTACTTGGCCAATACGCTGTGCTAACAATGGACTCACGTAAGAGGCAATCTGCAGAAGACAGAGTAAAGTAGTGGATCATATGAACTATGCCAATGACTACAATCTTAAAGCAGAGTAGCGTTGGTCAGGAGAGGAGGTAGTGGAGGGATGAGGAGAAGTAAGGCGCCTACGGGGCCTGCTAGTCCATGAGAGTTGCTATTTAAAGAGGAGCCATCAAGGCTGGCGGCTTTCACTACTACTAGCTGTGTTGTTGGCCAGTGAAGGTCCTACGGAATCTAGTGAAAGTGGAGGGGCGTCAGTCAATCATTATGGATGGATACCCGCCAGTGAATGGATTGGAATGGATCGCGAAGAGGGGAAGAAGCTGTCCGTGCGTCTCTGTTGGGGTCTGGATAAGAAGTCTGGAACCCCCCATCTAATCATCGCGGGCGGTAAAAAGAGTGTGGTTGCCCCGGAACCGCTCTTTATCTAATCGGCATCCCTCTCCTCCTCTCTTTCCACCCTCCAACTGCCCCCTTCTTCCACCTCACCTACCATCCACTCTCGGCTTTCTCTATTTTGCTAAGATGCCAGAAAGTAACGAACACCAAGCTCGGCGACATGCCATCAAGGCCGTCGCGCAAACCATCTCGAATCGTCCGGAAAATCGATACCAGCACAAAGACTTGGATCACCTCCCCATTCAGATCCTCCCCATGCCCCTGTCCGCCGAGGGGGACCCATTATTCGACTCTGAATTTTTCTGGCCCTACCAGAAGCCCCTCCCAGGCCCTGATGAGGAGATAGAGTTTTCGCCCTCCAGCCCGAAGGAAGCCTTAGATCCGATGGACGAGGCACACATCCTGAGCTACTATTTCGGGCATTATATCACAGATGCCACACTTATCCACAAGGTTGATTGGCAACATAATCCTAGACAGTATGATCGATTTCCGTCCACAGCACAGAACCAATATTAAGACGTACAAATGACTGATTTGTCTCCAGGCCCATTGAGTTTCCATGTTCCCTCTGCGAGCTTGATATTGAGAACCCCTTCGACTGGTGCGTGGGTGGTATAACCGGTATTCCGGGTGGGCCTCGGATGAAATGCTATCTACTCGAGAGTGTGAACGCGGACGATGATCAGATCACCCGTGGGGAGATCTTATGTATGTGTCGAATCATGAACACTTGCCTCTGTTCCAGAAAGTATCGTGCCCACCAAGTCAGTCCGGTGAGTGATGTCATGTCTTCTTTCCGTCTCATTCGAATTCCTGTGGCTAACTCACCCAAAAGGTGCTACTAATTTCCTTCGTGGGTCCAAGACATGCTCGCATTCTCCTGGGCCATCATGATGGCACCAACCTGGTGATCCGTCAATCGAAACGCTTTGCATTCTGGGAACAGAACATCCCAGACTGGAAGATCTTACTTCGATGGTGGTGCTCGTCTGCGGTCGGGGATACCATTAATGGGTAGCGGAGGTTTAGTACTCCCGTGCCCCTTCTCTCGTTGAAGTTGTTATCACTGTTTTATATTCGTTCACGCATGATCTGGTCGGTGTTTATTGGTCTGGTTTGGTTATACCCAAGGAATGTGGCGGGTTTGTGGCGTTTAATGGATAGGAAGAATTTTTGGTCGTCTTTCGAATACAATAAGGACAACGTACATCTTATGTCTCTCACGATGGATTGGACTTGGGGAGTACTGGGAAGGCCATGGCTTTAGAAGATAGTCCCGTTATTATCTGTCAATAGTGCTGTGTTAACACTATCATTCTACTTCTTCTAAATACAATCTAGCTTATCTAATCCAGACGCTTCAAAATTACCTTGATAGCCTGAGCCTAAAAGAGTGGCCGTTCTCCCACTCCAATTGCAACTTAACCGAAGACATGATGATGTTCCAGACACGGGAACAGAGCGACTTAATCATATCTTCTCAGAGCGCGAGCATCGGCGAGAGTAGGAGTGGGGATAGGGATTTGGAACTCCCAACAAGATCATCTGCGGTCTTATGAGAATCAATGATGACAGGCCGGAACATTATACGGTTACTTGCATCCCTTAACTGCGTAGCACGTTGGGTGTTCGCATTCACTCTTATGGTGGGGTTGGTGGGGTCGTTGGTAAGGGCCTGAGAGAGACAGAAAGGACTAAACAGTGAGTTAGAAGCTACTAGGAGTAACAATCACCGTATACTAGATCTAATATCGCAGTGGTATCCTACTCCTGCTTTAGCCCTAGCATGAGAAGTCGCGACACACGAGAACGAGGAAGTTCTTTCCTCATGGGTTGTCTATCAAGGGAGTGGGGCTTCTGCCCCGTGCACAAACAAGCAATGTCACCGAGCGACTTTGACAGGAAATCTGATGCTCCGATCCATAGTGCCTTACTGCTGAACATGCCAGGGGTTTCTTTGGATGCGATGCTGCCAGCCCACCTCACCCCAGTACCCACTTATAAGTTCCGCGGGGCATTTCCATAGGACCTGATAGGCCGACTGGCAAACATCATGTTCAAAGTAAATCCGGGCCGATGATCCTCTCCCAAACGAAAAGCTTCATTCATCCATGCCGTTTTCCAACTTCCACCGCTTCTTCTTTCCCCTCTCCCGTCGTTACAATTACAGTATACGGGATATACCACGCATCTCAAGGGGGAAAAAAAGAATATAACATAGGAGAATCAAGAGACACCAGGAAAGAAGAGAAAAATAGAAAAAGAAAAGAGAAAGAAAACTCAATGGACATCCCACACCTCACTGAAACACCAACCCCCTTCCCAAACTGCTGTTTATCCATCTCCAGCACCCTAATCGCCCACCTAGCATGGCTCCTCCCTAAAATGCCCGCATTCACCCTGTCAATAGGATGTGGATCCGGTCTCCTGGAAGCCCTAATACTGCATAACCATCCTAACCTCCAAATCACCGGGATAGAAGTCTCCGCGTCAGTCAACCGCTACCTTGCAGAAGAGAACTTCGACGTGGTCAGCGGAACTTGGGATCTGTATGCGCGTGCGCCGCAGGCGGCAGCATGGATGTTTGTTTACCCGCGTGAACCGAAGCTGGTTAGCAAGTATATTGAAATGTACGCTGATGATGAGAATGGATCTGAGTCATCGGTGCAGATGATACTTTGGTTGGGGCCTCGGGCGGATTGGGCCGATTATGAGCCATGCTTTCGCAATTCGTCGTTCTCAGACGTGTCTATCCCTGGTGAGGTGGGGATGATGGAGTTTGAGATGCTGGCTATTATGCGGAAGAGGTAGCGGTGTGTTTGATACTATCGCAGCAAATCTATCCATTTGGTCATCGGACGGACAGTGGGAGGGATATCTCTGGCCCCTGGCAGCGGGTAGATACTAGGATGGATGCTACTAGTAGCTTCGCTGATGTTTACGACTAAGTACTAGTACTACCTAATGCCAATTTAGGCTGACCGGTCGGTCGTCAAACTATCTAGTTGAGCATGCTAAGTCATGATATAAATAATTAGTGACATATTAGACGGCTTAAATCTCCCTTGAAACTAGAGCATGGCCTCTTGGGCAACCCGCTACAGGGTATACCAGTTTGGGCGGGTATCTTCTACTTATTCTAGACTGAATTCTTCAGAATTCGTAGTAATCGATGTACTGGAACTGACTCTATCCTTTCTGCAAGGCTTCTTGTTGGCCACCATGATTGGAAGTTGGGGTCTGCTACTCATACTGCGTCCAACATTGCTCATTGCTAGAGTTCAGACACGACACTCCCCTTCCCCTGTCATGCATACTGCCGGATTTCCACGTCACTCTGTATCCGGTGCTACAAAGACGGGTGGTGGCTTGCGTGCACCTTGCATTACGTGTAGCGAGAGCTATGCATAAATGATAGCTGGTAGCCAATTGAGAACATAGGATACATCTCTTACCAACCAATTGCATAACAAAGACTTGCATGTCTAAGCATCCAAGCAAACAAGCCCGGTCCATCCCTTGAGTATAATCCCAGGAGCATTGAATTGCGTAAATTCACGGAGATCTTCCCGCGGGGTTACAAAGGCAATATATTGGCTTGAGCGCTGGCAGTTGATGGTATCGCATCACATCACGTCATTAAAAAAAAAATCGGTATGCTTGTGTAACCTTACCCCCTGCTTTTACTTCAGCAGATAATGATCAGCAAATTCCCTTAGATGTATTCCTGTCTTGATGCCTAAAGTAGCTACACCATAGACTTGCACCCGTAAAAACGCTACCACTCGTTACTTGATAACCTATCTAGAAGAGACAGAGGGGGGACCCGTCACACTAACATGGTGATCAATACCAGCCTTGCGTAGCCCAGCGAGGATCTGCAAACTACAGGAGGTCCATTAACTACAGATTACATACTACTACCTCACCATTGTCATGGGTTATAAAAAGGCTCAACTGTCCCGGGGGTAAAGAGAGCATTCACCAAGCTCAACTCGCCATCTTATCATCTCTCATTCTACTACATCACTTCACTCCTTCTCCAACAGTCATCCACATCTTCTAGCTCCCATACCGCCAATATGAAGGTTTCCATTGCCCTTGTGCCCCTCCTCGCCGGGCTCGGACTGGCAGGGCCCATGCACAAGAGAGAAGAGCATTTTACCGGTGGCACAGACGCTGCGAACAGCATCAATGGCGCCAAGAGCATCGGCAGCATTGATGCTGCGGATAGCATCGACAGCATCAACAGCATCAATGGCAGGAGTATCGAGAGTATCGACAGCATAAATGGTGCCCACAGTATCGATGCTGCAGATAGCATTGACAGCATTGGCAGCATCAATAGTGCTCGCAGTATCAATGCTGCGGATAGTATTGATGCTGCGGATAGCATCGACAGCATTGACAGCATTGAGGCCGCCAACGCTGCTAATAGTATCAATGCTGCGGGTAGTATCAATGCTGCAGATAGCATCGACAGCATTGACAGCATCGAGGCCGCCAACGCCGCCAACGCCGCCAATAGTATCAAAGCTGCCAACGCCAACTAGAAGGGTGGATGAAACAACATCCCTATTTCGAATCATAGCCAGCCAATCTTATTCACCCAGTAAGTTATACATTCTAGATCACATCATGCTCCCCAAGTTCTAGGCAGCAGCATGCTAACAATGATATATGGCGGCAAAAGATGGACACTATGTGGCTACACCCGATTCGCAGCTCCTAGAAGGCGCTAGGGGATGATCGATCAATTCAAGTAAACGACTTTGCTCGTTTTACGGAGCAACGAGCTTTACACTCCGCTGATCCAAACCAGTTCCTCTCGTTACAATGACATGATGATTTCTTTGGAATTTAAGTAGCCATTTACCAGGTCTAATATGCAGTAGTTAATGGAGATGAGCTACATTTATTATTGCCAGCAATTTTTCTACTTCAGTAGAGGACTAAGCCGTTCATTGAGCCCTGGTAATGAATATCATATATCACCAACCGGTGTATCCCAGAGTCCAGCTATCTTCAAGCATAAAAGGGTCTAAGACCAAGCAACGATATTGAGGCCCTCCACTCGGACTAACTCTTGCAGACCATCTTCAGTTACCACACGGAATAATCATCATTTTGTGCACGCCGCTAGAAAATCTATATGAAAATACCAAAAGTAGGCTGGCATGACTTCAATGGCTTGTCAAAGCTGCAATAATAAGCGCCTCTCGCTTCTGAGCCGTCGAGAGCACACCATTCCGTGTCCCTCTCTTCCACATCCTCACCTTCCTTGAGCCCATGATCCAAAGCAAATGTCCCAGCCCTCTAGACCAGCACCCGTCCCGACCTCTGGCCGTCCAAGTCCGAAGCTGAAAAGCACATCCAGAGTAACCGTTTCTGGCAAAATATGAGATTCTCGTGCAGTCACAAAATACATCAACTAGTCTCCGGCCTGTCCCAACGGCTCTATACTCAATGCACACCTCGTCCTCCGAAGGAGGGCCGTGATATGCTGTGCCAAGAACACTTGTATCTGTGCTTGTAGGTCATAGTAATGCGGTTCCGAGTACAACACCAAATATCGGATATTATCACAATATTCACAGTGGTCTTAGTAAGAGAAAGCCAAGACTTGACGCTAAAGAGCTATATAGCATATGATGAATAGCAGTATCCTACTCCGAGGACACCTCCGATATACTATATTACGGAAAGCCATACCCGCCAGGTGCGCATATGTGGTCAGTGCCCATCACGTGCATCCCCGCGGATGGGGCTAAACTAGCGGGAATCCTCCGATCACGGCGTCCGTTAAGCGGATGTTTTTCTCCAGCCAGCAGGAACTCTCTTTCTTGCATCCCCTTTTGCACGGTATTCACAATGGCTGCTGCTGCTAGGACGCTTCGCATAGGTCAATTGCTCCTCTCCATCTCTTAACGTTCTTCTCCTGCCCGTCTAGTTGCTGACATCTTCTCTCGTGCAGGTCTCATCCCCGGTGACGGCATCGGCCGAGAGGTCATTCCGGTGAGTCACCACCAGCAAATAGCTTCCTGTCGAAACACCAATTCTAACGAAACGCTCTTCATCAGGCCGGCCGGAAGGTTTTGGAGTCTCTCCCCTCCTCTCTGAACCTCAAGTTCAGCTTCGTCGATCTCGATGCGGGCTTCGACACCTTCAAGCGCACCGGTAGCGCTCTCCCCGATAAGACAGTCGAGATCCTCAAGAAGGAGTGCGATGGTGCTCTGTTCGGCGCTGTCAGGTGAGTGCTACATCGATATCTCCTGTCCTTGTCTGTCACTGAATTCCCTCCTAACTAATCTCTGTAGCTCCCCTAGCACCAAGGTCGCCGGCTACTCCTCTCCCATCGTCGCCCTCCGTAAGAAGCTTGACCTGTACGCCAACGTCCGCCCCGTCAAGACCACCGCCGGCAGCACCGACGGCAAGCCCATTGACCTGGTGATTGTTCGTGAGAACACCGAGGATCTCTACGTCAAGGAAGAGCAGACCAAGGAGACCCCCAATGGCAAGGTTGCCGAGGCTATCAAGCGTATCTCCGAGAACGCTTCCTCCCGCATCTCCACCATTGCCGGTGAAATTGCCCTCCGTCGCCAGAAGATCCGCAGCGTTGCTGGTATCGCTGGCCTCCGCACCGAACCCATGGTGACCATCACCCACAAGTCCAACGTTCTCTCTCAGACCGACGGTCTCTTCCGTGAGACCGCCCGTAAGGCCCTTTCCGCCGACCGCTTCTCCTCTGTCCAGGTTGAGGAGCAGATCGTCGACTCCATGGTTTACAAGCTCTTCCGTCAGCCCGAATACTACGACGTCATTGTCGCCCCCAACTTGTACGGTGATATCCTGTCGGATGGTGCTGCTGCCCTGGTTGGTAGTCTGGGACTGGTTCCTAGCGCTAACGTTGGTGATGGCTTCGCCATCGGTGAGCCCTGCCACGGCAGTGCCCCCGACATTGAGGGCAAGGGTATTGCCAACCCCATCGCCACTCTGCGCAGTGTTGCCCTGATGCTGGAGTTCTTGGGTGAGGAGACTGCCGCTGCCAAGATCTACACTGCTGTTGATGCCAACCTTGATGAGGCCAAGTTCCTTTCTCCTGACATGGGCGGTAAGGCTACTACCCAGGAGGTTTTGGATGATGTCCTGAAGAGGCTGTAAAGGGTTGTTAAAAAAATGACTCTTGATGTATAAATAGCGAGATAAAAGAATCAAGCTTTTAGAGCGAATGTGATGTCAATTTTGTTTACAACATCTAAGGGTCTTGCAATAGTGGATGACTAGAATTCCTTGTCACGGGAATAAATACCATCCTACCTTACTAAGATTGAGAGGTTGACAGGAGATTGTACAAGGTAAGATGGTAAGAGGGGTAATTCCATTGCTTATATTTTTGTGGTCCCGTGAGCAGGTAATTCAATAAGAGGCAGTCTAGATTCGCGATGGCACGTGCCGACTATATCCAGGTGTTCCGAAAACATGAGGCGCAGCAAGAAGACCCAAGGTGGACAAATACCAAAGCGACACATCCTTGTCTGGCTCACCATGCTTCTCGTTGATCGCAGATGCAGTGACACGTATTTGGCCATCTGTCTGAAGGATTCTGACAGATCGCTCATTGCCATTATAGTCGATGGAGTACTCCGTGGGTAGATCGCTACAGACTACTAAAGTAATCGGGGGAATTATTTACCTACTAACTGGTTACTCTGGACTCTGCACTCCTACTAAAGATGCGCCCAGCTTCAGCCCTGAGTATTGCAGTCCCAATCGGGTATCGGGTGATGCGGCTCGTCTCGTCAGCTGGACTCCTGAACAGACAGACGGTTCTTTGCTTTTTAGTCTCCCTCCTGGTTTGTTTCAACCCGGCTCATCCTCGTGCCTCGTGCTGAACATATCCCAGCCTCACGCTTGTGGATGTGGGTCGGCGGAGATCGAACATCAAGTCAGTTGTTCCTGGCAGCGTTTTCCCACCAGATCTACTGCTAAGACCGATCTAAAGTAACTAATTAAATCAGTCGGTTGGTTCCTATCATGCGGCCAGTTACCGCCAGGGCCCCATGACCATATACCCACCGCGAATTCGATCCATAATCATGCGCTAGGGAGATACCGAGTTTGAGAAAAAGAAAATTCCACCACATACAAAGCAGTTACCTAGCGAGGAGCAGCTAAGAACTGCACGGAAGCCTCCAAGACATTAAACAACTGTCCCAGTCAGGGAGGAACTCTCCTAGCGTGGGTGAGGCGGTGCACGGGCGGCACCGTATAAGAGTGGAGGACATCCTGCGAGGGAGACGGCAGGACCTACTATTTAATTGGGGCGCGTTCCACTCCCATCCACAATGCCAACACGAACGTCACCTCAGCAAACTGTGCGGCCTCCCCGCCATAATAGAATCTCACAATTTTCATCGCCATTACCATTCCTAGCGCGCCTCCTCGTCAGGCTTCGCAACCTTTGCAGCACGAACATGGCTTCCTATACATCACTGAAACAAGTCATCGACAAGGAAAAGTTCGAATCGCTTAGTGACGAACAGCTTGTTGAGCTTGTATATTATCAATTTGAATCTGTCATCGAAAGACTCAAGAATGTGGAACAAAACATCGAGGGGGACGATACGCATCCCCAAGGCTTGCTAACCCGGACAGGCGTTGAGGGGAAAGCAGATAAAGATAATCTCACTCCCTCTCGATATCTTTTCGACGAAGATTACTCAGAGGTGAATCGAACCTTGACTAATGTTCTTGCGGTGCGATGGCTGCTCGATAATGATTACAGCACCTTCACTTGCCATCAGAAGGAATCCATGAGGTTAAAGAGCGCAACATTCAATGACTTTCGCGAATTGGCGAACCATATCCGAAAAAAGCCGGATTGGCTGATGGCCCTGATTGTAGCTCTGGTTCTGGGTGACGTGGGTAAAGACCATGGGCTAGCTAAAGAGGTGCAAGCCCGACTCCAGACTGTATCAGACAAGGACATGAACCATGATACAATCCTCGAAAAGGCTCTTGAATTAAGAATCATTGATACTCCGTTGGATCTTCTGCCGGCTCCTCGACGTGATGTGCTTCGAGGAGTGAGGCTGGGAGCCAAGCTCAATATCCCGCAGCTAGCCCAAGGTGAGAACGTTCCAGGAAGCCTTCAATGTCTTCAAGATCTTCGAGGCCAGGAAAGTGCCTTTGAGTTGAAGTATCTTGAGATCATGTTCGACGTGGCTGGTGCAGGGGCGCATGTTGATGCCTGCGGTTCAGTCCGGATGATTGAGCCGGTCTGTCAATCATTCCTACTTACTTACAAAATCCTGAAGCGCGTTGTTTCAAAAAAGATTACGATTCAGGAAGCGTACAATCAGGTCCTGCAAAACCGAGGCCGTATCCTATCTGAGAAGGGATATCCAAAGTTATCCACAGATGATGATAAAGAGCGGGCCCTCTTGCGCCTGTATGCAATGGGCAGGGTAGCAGATATCGACTTGGCAGAGCGCTTCCGCAAGGCCCTTCTCGGACTCCCCGATGATCATAGAGCTGAACTTATCAAAGAGCTTAATCAGAGCGGTCTGGAAGATGAACAAGCTGTAATTCTTTATTATATGCCTGCATTGTTTGCGGAGTTACTCCGCCACACCCAGCAGGCTTCCGAGGAAACGCAAGTAAAAGCGCTGACGTCGCTAATGGGCTTTATGAGACGCACATATATCGGAGCGAAGAATGTTCCCGGTGAAACGAACCTCATTATTGAGTGTGACGTGTCTGGAGCAAAAAGCAAGATTCAGGCACCGGAATTCCCGGAAGATCTTACTGGCTTGGATGAGTATACTCTCCCGTCGTTGGGTTCCAAAGATCCTCAGTTTTGGTAGCCTGCCGAAAGAACTCGATCTTTCTCGGGCTGTTGTCGAGGTCAGACAACAATTGGAGCAGCTTTCTGTCCACTCCATGTCACATCACGACTTGATGCTGTTTTATGTCTGCTTGCCTCTTCGCTCCGGTTTGCCACTTTATGCAAATCTGCTTTTTTCCTTTCGGGTTGGGAAAGGCCGATACCTTTACGATTGATACGACATTCATGACACTACGAATGGCGAGAACTTTGCTTTTCATTGTAAGGATCTCAGAGAAATCGGAAATTTCTGGGTAGTAGTACTATTGTGCATGCTCTGAATGATACCACTAGAACGCATCAACCATACAGTGGACAGACAGTCTTGCCGCGTTCAGCTAGCTTCTTGACCAACATTCTACTTGCTTCTCTCCAAATTCGTATATTCCTTTCTTATAATAGGGCCATCACGGTCATCCCTAACCCTGCTACTATTAGCTACTACTTAACTCCTTCAGTGTCAAGGATGACATGGGGCCTAAAGCCCCTGACAGGACCCCCGGAAGACACCCAAGCCATTAGGGTAATGCGTGGCAAGCACCAATATTGGCCGATTTGTTTTGATATTTGAAATGCATTTGGCAATAATCTCATCTGCTCCAGCAACATCAATGCATCTCCCAACGTTCATTTACTCGGATTCATAGTCCGAACTCCTCACTCACAGCCTCAGCAAACAATCTCACCCCCTCTTTCAGATCGCCCTCCTCCGCAGCCGCAAACGTCATACGAAAATGCAGATGGCCATTTAGCTCTTTATTCGAAGCGAACAGCGAACCCTTAGTTACAAGCACAGCCTTCTCCAAAGCCTTAGCTGCAATCTTCTCCTCCAGCCCAATTATCTGCGCACCAACCTCCTCCAGCGACAATTCGGACGAGCTCTCAAGCTGAGGATGCTGTCTCCAGTCAATCTTAACCCACAAAAACATGCCGAACTCCGGTGCATTCCACTGCACGATCTTCCTGGGCAAGTAGTAATTACAAGCACCAAGGAGGACATCCCGCCGCCACCGATACTCACGCGAGAGATCAACAAGCCACGCGGTGAATCCGTCATGTCCCCAGTTCTCATCGAGCAGATGCCAGAGCATGAGCTGGGAGGGGCCGCTAACTGCTAAAGTGCTCACTTCCTGGTATGCAGTGAACTTGTCGATGATTTGCCTGGATGCAGTGACCCAGCCGGCGCGTAATCCGGGAGCGAGAATCTTGGATGCGGAATCAATACGTACCACGCGCCCGGCTGTATCTAAAGTGAGGTAGGAGGGAATGGACTCAGTATGGAATATCCGAGCGGCTTTGTCATCTGCAGATGCAGAGCCATTGGCATCTTGGTCGTGATCATAGTAAGGGCCCATCCTCAGGAAATAGTATGGGTCATCCTCAATGATTATGAGGTCGTGTTTTTCTGCAACCTCATAGATTGCTCTGCGTCTTTCCAGGTGTTGGCTAGCCCCTGTCGGGTTCTGACCCGTAGGGATGGTATACAGCACGCGTGGTTTGGGAGATTGAGCATCATTCCAGGAAGAGAGTACCTCATCCAAGACATCAGGTCGCAAGCCATTCGCATCCATCTCAATCCCATAAACCCTAACCCCATTCAAATCGGCACTTTCCAGCGTCCCCGGGTACGTATACTGCTCCGCTACAACAGTGTCTCCACGATCACAGAAAATGCGAAACGCCGCCTCCGTCGCGGCAGTTGCACCACAGGAGAGGAACGTCGCCCAATCTGCATACGGGGGATTGTGAACGAGCTCAACATGCTCGGTGATGAAACGGAGTAAGTGTGCTGATCCGTTTGCAAGGCAGTAGTTTAATGCGATTGAGAGGTTGTATGTTGCACCGTTTTTGGCAATGGTGTGTGCAGAGTGGCCATTTTCCTGCCTGTTGGGTAGGTGTAGATTGGGTTTTGTTGTAGTTTTGATTGTCGGGACTGGAGGAGCCTCGCCCAGGGTTATTGATTCCCAGGGATAATAATCCGCAGTTGGTCGTCCTGTCCCGAGAGATATGATCTTGCGCGGACCGCTTGGACTAGACCCCTTTTTCAAAGCTGAGCCGGAAAAGTTCCGGCTTTCGATGCTGAAATGGTCGTCGAATCGTTTTGCAGGCGGTTTTGCACGGGTGTAGGGCGATTTGTACAGATCGGAGGAGACGGAAGGGGCAATTGTGAGAGGGAGAGGAGGCGCGGCAGCACGAAGGGCTTCGATTTCAGTGGATTGCAGACGTGCCATTATCACCGATGAATGTTGGGCTGAAGTGCCGAGAATCTTCAAGATATTCTTCACGACGTCTTAAACGATGGTCTTCTCTTATAGATTCGGGCAAGATAGCTAGCTAGACTTCGTTTATCTTGATATCGGAGAGATCGGAGTGATGTACTCGATCACTCCGAATACTCCGCCCCTCGTTGTCTTTCGCGTATCGCGCCTTTTTCCTTTCCTTAACTTTTGCGGATCTGTATAGGTAATCTTCATGTTTATAAATATGGGCTTAAATGGTATCTAAAGCTTTTAGTTTCATGCCTAGAGTAATTATGTAAGAGCTTATCCATCATACACCGCGCATGACAGAAGGATGCTTTCCCATTCCCCATAATTACTAGCATAGTACATCTGCTTTCACGTGTCTTATATTTTCGGGGCCTCTTTAAGCGCTCATTCAGTCTGTCTAACTCACAACATTCCTTGTGTGAGCTGGAAGGCTCAGGACTTCGTCAATATGAGGTTAAGAAGGGCTACCCTACAACCCATGATAATGGCAACAATTTCGGTATGAAGGTCGCTCACAACACTGTTTCAATATGCGTGTGCCATTTGCCAGGTATTATGGAGCGCTTACTAGCCCAGAAACTCGTACTTTATGTTCACAGTGTCCTTCCCCGGGTCCCGCTTACATAGTCACCAGAATATTCACTCGAGCGAGACCACATTGAGCCCTTAATTCATTACATCTGTCTGGGAGTAGTATAACATTAAGTGGTACTGGTGCAAATTGTCTTATCTCGGCATAGCCATTTACCCCGCTCCGAGAGTCCGACAACGCTACCCACGCCTCTCCGTACTCACCGGTCCACCCTCAAGCGTGTCAACGCAGTAATTGCACCATTGCTTCTGTGTTTGTATAATGGCAACTAGATTGGCTGCATGTGAGCCTTGCAGAAGGTCAAAGCTTGCATGCGACCACCAACAGCCGGTCTGCAATCGGTGCAGGGATGGCAACCGACCGGGTCTTTGCATCTATAGAAGTGCGCCCTTCAAAAGAAGAAAGACCAGCAATGCAGTGACAGATAATGGATCTTCCCACCAGTATAGTGTCCCTAATTCTTAGTTCTGTTTGAGTATACATTGGCTAAGACCCTGCCACTTCTTTGGGTACCGCCATATTTAGCTCTCCAGACCCGTCGCCCACAGCATCATCCCCACATCATGCAGGAGGAAATAGATATCCCAACCCAGGATATCTCGGGTCATCAAGCCATGTTGCTATCTTTAAGCATATCACTTCATCAGATAGTCAGAGTGCTACATCACATCAGAGTCCTAGCACCGCTTCTTGGACAGCATCTCTTTTCCCGCCTGACGATGATCTTGTCGTTCAGCGATGTGCAGATGCCCTCAAAATGCTTCTGACGAGGTTTTCCTTGCCTGCTATGAAAGAGCTTGTCAAGCTGTGGCAGGCAAGGGGCACGAATCTTGCTATCATGGGGGCTATGGTTGATCAATGTGTTGACAACATTCCCCTCCCACCCTCATCGACAAACGAAGACTGGCATCTGCTATATGCGAAATCCCTTCTCAACAACTCTTCCCAGCCGCTTAGATACTCACAACGCTCTACCTTTCCCGAGTTCTGTGCTCAATTCATTAACCAGAACATGCGATGGGAAACGCTCGCAATCTTCTTGTCAGCTGTTGTCCGAGCCACTATGGATATCCAGTTTTTCCCGTCGCTGTATACGACCGAAGAGAAGAAGTATAGCCTCCGAAAGCTATGCACGAGATTAGCGGACTATGCACTGGAAATCACCATATCTCTTGACTGTCTGAATGATCTTCAAGTCTGCTTGCAGTACGAAAACTTTATCGTGCATTCTCATGTAGACGGGGACCATAGTAGGTTTCCCATCTGAATGCTCCGCGTTCATGCATCACTAATCACACCCAGGCTACTATTCGTGGCGAAAGCTCGGAGATGTTATATCCTCGATATATGCTCTCGGCTACCATGAGAATCTCGATGAGAAGCCCGATACACCTCGCTTCTTGACGGAGCTACGCAAAGCTGTCTTTGCCCGCGTGTATTCGGCAGACAGGAACGTTGCCATCTTCGTCGGTCGTCCACCCCGCATGAACAGACAATTCTGTCATTTCCAGATCCCATCAAGTCCGCTTCCCGATGACGTCTGGTTTATCTCCTCTGACAAGCCCGATAATGAATTCGACGATCCTTTCAGCTGGAACCCGTCGACTAAAGCGAGTTATATGGCTGAAACTCGGTGGACTGCGTTGTGTGCCGGGGTCAAAGAGGATATACTTAATTTGCAGAGAAGTCGGCCAAGTGACATGGAGCTTTTCTATCAACGGGTTGCGTAAGCTTACTTTGCAATATAACCTATTCTTGTGTATAACTAACGGAGTCAGTGACATAAAAGCACAGGCTGAAAAGAATTACTCTTCACTGCCTCGACAGTTTCAGTTCCGCAACAATCTCAGGGATAGTACACTGAGCACCTTCGAACGCGACTTCATCGGCTCAGTGCAATTGAATCACTTGCACACGCTCTTCCTGCTGAATCTCCTCCTGCTCAGTGCTCCTACTGAACCCGATCCCACCCTCGTGGACATCGCCGACCAGATCCTCTCGGTAACAGTGGACATGGTCCTCCTGCGTGATCAACTTACAAACTCAGGAACATGTCTCTTGTGGAAGGTATGTGTCAAGCTCCGTGCTCATTTCGTACTTCCCATGTCTAGTAGCCCTGAAGGTAACTGTAATCGTTGAAGGTCGCCTATCATTGTCTCCCCGCCGCAGGAATTCTCCTACTTGCTCTGCTCAACGAGAGGGCCACTCCAAGCATGCCTCGTATAACACGGCCCAGAACGCTTCAGCACCTGACAATCCTCGCTGCGGAGATCCAGGCCGGATCGATCATTCGGCCCCAGGAACCCAACTATGAGCTAATGTCCAAGGCCATGCAAACAATTCAGAGCTTCCTAGATTCAGTCACTTCTGAACCCATGCGCGCTGTGCCAGCCATGACACCCCGCAGCCCGAACCTAATCGAATGGTCCAGTTTTCCTTACCAGCAATCCTTAGATTTTGAGATTGGTTTCTGGGAGAGTCTTGCCGACCATCCCCTACTAAGTTTCCAGTCTGGAATTATGGCGCCCGAATAGACATTTTTATTCATACAAGGCTCTGCAAATTAATACATATTAAAATCACAAAGTGTATTGAACTGGCCCTTTACCAAGAGTGAATCAATGTATATACCCCATGATCACGTGCCCCGTGGGGCGCCGGCGTCGGGAAAACTCTAATGGCACAACACATGACGGAGGCCCGTGGGTATCCATTTAGATATCAGTAGAAGCACGATTAAATATCGTCTGGATCGCAGTGGACACGGACTAGTGTTGCTTGTATCCCTGCATTGTTTCGACCCCTGTATCTGCACGGCGTTGGCACCCTTCACGTCCATCCCCTGCGACAAGTGTCCCATTTCGGGTCCATTTCCCCCCGCTCAATCCAGTGTGATCCAAGCTTGACTGTCCACAATGGAGGCGGAACTTCAAGCACAGATCCCCGGTCTTGACCGCGTGGTATCAGAGTACTCCGTGGGGTATCTGACCCATGCCTCCAAGGCCTATGTGGAAGATGCCAACGCTCCGTCGCCACTGGCCGAAGCGGCCGACATGGTCACCGAGCTCCTTGTCTCCGCATCGGGCGACTTCACCCCCGAGAATGAAAAGGCCATCCGCAACTTGGTTGAGAAATTCATTTCCTCGCTGAGTGCTGCTGACGGTGTGGACGCCGAGCGTCGCCAGATGCCCTTTGCCGCCAAGAAGCTCGACCAGGCCATCAATGTCGGCTCTCAACGGAATATGTCCTCTACTCTGGGTCTTGCCGGAGGTAACGTCGATCTGGAGTCGGCTAACGCCAGAAAGGTGGAGTCTAAGGTAGACCGCAAGAAGCTCGAGAAGGCGGAACGCAAGATTCGTGCCAAGCAGGAGAAGAAACAGATGAAGACAGTGCAATACGAATCATCCCGTCTTCTCAACCAGCCCGATAGTACTATGTCTTACGAAGAGTTCTTCATGGCGGTTAACCCTCTGCAGCTGGGTTCGGACTCCCAGTCCAAGAGCAAGGACATCAAGGTGGACAGCATCGACATCTCCGTCAGTGGTCACCGTATCTTGACAGACGCCTCCCTTACCCTGGCGTATGGTCGTCGCTACGGTCTCGTCGGTCAGAACGGTATCGGAAAGTCTACGATGTTGCGTGCACTCAGTCGCAGAGAAGTGGCTATTCCCAGCCACATCTCCATTCTTCACGTCGAGCAGGAAATCACAGGAGACGACACCCCCGCCCTCCAGGCTGTCCTCGACGCCGACGTATGGCGCAAGCGTCTCCTTGCCGACTTGGACAAGATCACCAAGCAGCTGGCGGACATTGAAGCAGAGAGATCCTCCATGGCAGACACCTCAAAGGATGCCGCTCGCCTGGACCACGAGCGCGAGGGTCTCGACATCACACTAAACGACATCCACTCCAAACTCGCAGAGATGGAATCAGACAAGGCAGAGTCCCGCGCAGCCAGTATTCTGGCTGGTCTCGGTTTCTCACCCGAGAGACAACAGTTCGCGACGAAGACCTTCTCCGGAGGTTGGCGTATGAGATTGGCTCTTGCCCGAGCCCTGTTCTGCGAACCCGATCTCCTCCTGCTGGACGAACCGTCCAACATGTTGGACGTGCCGTCCATTACTTTCCTCTCCAACTACCTCCAGACATACCCCAGTACCATCCTGGTCGTTTCTCACGATCGAGCATTCCTCAACGAAGTCGCCACCGACATCATCCACCAGCACTCCGAGCGTCTCGACTACTACAAGGGCGCCAACTTCGACTCTTTCTACGCCACCAAGGAAGAGCGCAAGAAGAACGCCAAGCGCGAATACGAAAAACAGATGGCCGAGCGCGCCCATCTGCAAGCCTTCATCGACAAGTTCCGCTACAACGCCGCCAAGTCCTCCGAAGCCCAGTCCCGTATCAAGAAGCTGGAGAGGATGCCTGTCCTGGAAGCCCCCGAGAGCGATTACGTCGTGCACTTCAAGTTCCCCGAAGTGGAGAAGCTCTCTCCCCCCATCGTCCAAATGTCCGACATCGCCTTCGGATATACCCCCGACCGACCCCTTCTCCGCAACGTGGATACTCGACGTGCAACTCGATTCACGTATCGGTATCGTTGGACCCAACGGTGCCGGTAAGACCACTGTCCTGAAGCTCCTCACCGGCCAACTCCAACCGACAAAGGGTCTTCTCTCGCAACACGCCAGACTTCGCATCGGATTCTTCGCCCAACATCACGTCGATGCACTGGACCTGACCACCAGCGCCGTCAGCTTCATGGCCAAGGCTTACCCCGGAAAGACAGACGAAGAATACCGCAGACACCTCGGAGCCTTCGGTATCACAGGTATGACGGGTCTCCAGCGCATGGAGCTCTTGTCCGGAGGTCAGAAGTCCCGTGTTGCGTTTGCATGCTTGTCGTTGACGAACCCGCACATCCTGGTTCTGGACGAACCGTCCAACCATCTGGATATTGAGGGTATGGATGCACTGTCGGAGGCGCTGCAGAACTTCGAGGGTGGTGTGGTTATGGTCTCTCACGATGTCACGATGCTGCAGAATGTGTGCACCAGTCTCTGGGTTTGTGATCAGGGTACGGTGCATAAGTTCGATGGCACGGTCAATGCTTATAAGAAGTTGATTACCGCTCAGGCTAATGAGGCGGGTGTTGTTGCTGCTCATTGAGTGGGGAGGCGGTGCGTTCACTGCTAGTAATGATAAAATGTTATGGATATCTTCAACGATGTTTGATCTCTCCCAAGTAGTAGCGGTTGATGTTCGCCGGTGTGTAGATTTCAGTAACTGCTCCTTCTCGTACGCCTCGGTCTATCTCGAGTAAATAAGCTTCTGGTTGCTACACTCTGTCGGGTATTGGTGGTCGCAGGGATAGCTCGAACCTGAGAACTAGCCACTCCAGTTCGAAAAGAAGAGCATACTACATCTGGCTTCACATACTAATTGGATCATAGTAATTGAACCCTGTGATAGATTGATTGGAAGTATAGTTGAATGATTAAAGTTGAATTCGACTTGCGGAAAAGCTCCGCTCGGATATATAAGTCCGCTATGCACCACTAGTGGTACCGCTCCGGTACCAGGAACCCAGAACACAATCCAGAGAATGGACAGAATTGGAAAAGAAAAGAAAAACAACAAAAACAAAAAAAATAGAGAAGATGTCCATGGATCAAACCCATATATTCCAGCTTGTCACAGTCCAATGTGAATTGGATAGATATCCAAAGAGAAAAAAGAAAAAGAAAGGGCCGAACGCGATTTGAACGCGTGACCTTAAGATCTGCAGTCCCACGCTCTACCCCTGAGCTACCGGCCCTTCTTGTTGTTTGGTTTGCTATTTTGTTTGTCTCTTATGCAGGGGTGCACAGATGTTCTGCTGTTCATTTGAGTCCCATGGTCCGTTGGGAGTTCTCCCAACATTAGTTGTAAATAGGCGGTGGTAGTGGTAGTGCTGCAGGTCATGATAGCGATATCGTATTTCTTGGTACCTGTAATAAATCTATATGTCTGTTTATCATTGGGAAAGCTCAATCAAGAGTCTAATAGAAGTGTCATGGAAGGCAAGTCAAAGACTACATGTAGTATCTGGGGTTAAGCATCCAGACCAGTACTGCGAATGCATGTTATTTACTTTGCCGGATTACATCATCCATTTATATCTATCTGGATATCATTCCGTCAATCCGAATCACCTCTTCGAGTAGTTAGTGTATAGGTCGAACCATGAACATGCATACATCCACCTGCAGACCAGCCCGCGTCGAAGCTCTGTCTCTTTGATTGAACAAAATAATGCAGTGGGATCATATATACTATGCTGATAAGTATTTACTTATATGAAATACAGTCCATCTAATCTAGAACCCCGCATCATCACCGCTATCACCATCGCCATCAATATCCATACCATCCTCATCGTCGTCGTCGAGTCCTTCGAAGCTCATGAACTGCTCATTCTTAGCATCGGTTTCTTCCTCAACCACGACGCCATCTTGGATTTCACAGTCCTATAAAAGTAGTTAGCATGCCGTTTATCTACATGGCTTAGCAGATTTCAAACGCACCTTGAGTACGGACTCTTTTCCGACCTGACTGTATCTTCCGACTGTAAAATTGTCAATAAGTTTACTTCATGACCTGAAATTGTGTGCATTGTAGAAGACTTACCGATACATCCTGTAAGGACACACTTCGGTCCGATGACTGCGTTGTCCATGATCACACACCTGGTTTATGTTAGAGATTAGGGTGTAGATAAGGCAGGAGCATGGGATGCCTACCTCGTAAGGCGCGCGCCGCTGCAGATCTTGGCGTTGGCAGAAATACACGACTCCTTGATGACGCACTTTTCCTCGACCTTTTCAAGATGTTAGCGTTGAAATACATAATCAATAAAGTTCACGATGCTCACCGTCACATTAGACCCCAGCAAGCAATCGCCCTTCGTGACAATAGATTTCGACGCGACTGCCTCCGGAGTAGCAATCTTCGCGGCATGGCTAAATGGTGAGGCAGCAGCACGGCCGACCTCTTCAACTGACTCGAGCTTGGCAAGACGCAGGGACATGGCCAACACCAGGGCGGCACTGTCCACGCGCCGAATGAGTTGCTTGGACGACTTGGTCGTGTATGCGAGGATGGGCGGCACCTCCACGGAGGATTGACTAGCTTTCGTGCTGCGGGCCTCGGAACCCTGAGCGTGGGTGGTGGTCATGCTGCGAAGATCGATTTCCTCCTCCAGAGAGTCGCCGTCGTTGCTTCCATGATCATCTTGAGCCTCCTTCTGTCCGCCCAGGATCTCATCAATGCCGAGCTTGGCGCTCAGTCCACGCTGCCACCCCGCTTTCGCCCAGTAGCCGATCAAGTCTTCACTTACGGACTCGAAGCGCTCCTGGTGCTGTGCAAGCGATCGAACCCACTTAGGCAGAATGTACAAGTGCGCATCGCGGTAGCTGGTCAGCATCTTGACCGAGGCATGCTTCTCCACCAGGGTGTGACGGAGTAGGAGTCCCTTATCATTCTCTATCTGCTCTTTCAAGGTATCCATGGGCATTGACAGGACCAGCTTTGAAAGCTCGTGACGCGAGACAGAAGGGACCTCATCCTGGTCGAGAGAAGTTATTGCCACAAAATCTGTAGGCTCTTTCTTGATCTCGTCTTGAATGCCTTTTGCGGGATAGAACACAGACAGGCCTCCTTGAGCAGCGGGGCCCAATTCACTCTGTGAGGCGAGCCATGCCTCAAGCAAATGCTCGCCAGGGATATCGCACAGCAGATCGCAACTCAGGAGCAAGAAATTGGATTGGATGCAAGCTTGTACTTCTGGTAGGCGTAGTAGTTCCGCGGTTCCTGTCGTCATCTTGAGGTCCTTCGGGGCGATGATCGTGGGGGAGGGCGAAGAGAGTGACGTGAGGTAGGGGTTCTGTTGTAGAGCGGCCTTGAGGGGAGCCAGAGCGGAGGGAGGTGTGATCAGGACGATATCTGAGCCGTTAGTCTTTCTCCCAAGCAAAGACCGCAAGACCCAACGGCCCCAAGGGGGCGCATTGCAGTTTCTCACCATTTATTCCTGCGCGCTTGCACCAATCCAGCGGGTAGTATACCATAGGCCTAAGCTGTGTATCCAATGGTATTAGTGACTGCTTGCTCTTGGGTCTGCGCGGAGAATTCGGCAATACATACAGCGATAGGGATTAAGCATTTTGGATTTTCTTCGGGGTTGGAGGAGATAGTGTTCAGACTCTCACCAGGACCACAGAGGATCAAGGCTTGGAAGCCACTGCTCGGGACTGGCGTGGCATGCACCATGGTGATTTGCGATTCCGATTTTGTGAATGACTATGACAGAACCCCGCGGACAATGGTGGTGGGGGTAGAGGACAAGGAATTGGGAGCCCTTGAAGCTGCAGGGGCCCGATATAAGCCTCTTGAAGTAATCCTCAAAGATTATCAGGCAATGCAAAGGAGCGACTGAATGATGCAATCTTGCAATGATTGTCAAATGCCTTCCGCAGGAGGAATAAGTGTGAAGCGCAAGAATGAATTGTGATAATAATTCATCTCCGCCCGAAATTTTGCCCTCAGTCACCGCTGTCACCCCGACAAACAGAACAAAAGCCACACCGCCTAAACCTAGTTATGCTACTACACAGTATAGTAGTCGACTATTGTGTGCGAGTCTAGGCACTGCAGTCTTGCCATGGTTTTACCCCCTTCCTGCAAGTCATGCATCCGGAATGTTCCTGTCCAATTGTCGGCGTCGGACGCAGGATTACTTACGCACTGCGCAGATTTGGCTTTTGGAGTATTTGTCCTGGCCAACTCAGCAGACTGAGCGTGGGATGCGAGTGCGCCATTTCCTGAGCTTCTAGGCTTTCCGCTCCGTTTCCTACCCACTGTTCAGGGGAAACGAGTGTGTGTACTACGATGCAGTTTTCCCATAGTCTATGCTCGTTCGTAATTATGTCTAGAACTGTGCACCGAGAAAGAATGGAAAGAATGGTTTGGTAAGGTATCCGCTAGTTTTCATGTTACACATAAACGTCTCCTTAGCAGGTGGAAACAGTCGCTGCATCTTCTCCGCGGTTCTTCTGGTCTAGTTGGGTCCATAGTGCTTGATAAAGTACTTAGCCATGGAGATGACCGGCTCCGGCTCAAGACCCTTATCCCGGCGGGCCTCGTCCTTGAGTGACTGGCAGGTTGCGAAGTCGTCGGGGTTACCGAAGAACCAGCCATTGTTATTCTGGGTGTACTTGAAGACATCCTGCAACTCAACGAGGACAGAGTTCCCATGGGTTGGGAAGTCATCCGCTGAGGCCATGGGAATGTAGCGAGATTTCTTTCCCGTAACTGCGACACCCAGTTAGCAACTCCCAGAGAAAGCTAAATTAGAAACCTACCCTCAGTGAAGGTCTTCACCATATCCTCATACGTGAACGCATCACTCACGCACTGAATGGTCTTGTTCTTCCACTTCAGTGGGTTCAGAAACATTCCGTGCACCATCTCACCAAAATCGTCCTCAATGGAGACCGTTTGGACCTTGCCTTCGCCACCTACCAAGGGAGCGTGCCAGGTCAGGTAGCCCTCGTTGTCGGGGAACATGGGGAAGCCACCGAAGGCCTGCGCGTACTCGGGAGTGACATAGTTCTCGAAGTACCACCCGGGGAAGGCGCCAATGACGGCGTCAAACTCCTTGAATGTTCGGGCATACAACTCACATCGGTGTTTGGCTATAAAGAGGAAAGTTAGACGCGGACACGAAGAAATCATGATGAACATACCATCCATGCCCGGAACGGGTGCAACGCCTTTGGTAAATATCGCAGGAGACTCGCAGGTACTGTAAATGAAGACCTTCACGCCTGCCTTGGCTGCAATCTCGATGAGGCGGTTGCCGAGATCCTCGTCAGTCGGCCCACCGGGTTGCGTTACCGCCTGGATGTTGGCGATCAGCGTGTGATTCATGGAATGAGGAGTTGGTGCCCTCGTAATCAAGAAGGCCACTTACTGGGTCATGGTGGTGGGTGTTAAGCCAGAATCCCCAGGCACCGGACAGGGCATTCTGCATGTCGTTGTCGTTGAATCCATCAGCCTTAACCACCTCAGCTCCTAGGCGAGCCAATTCTTTGGCCTTTTCCGACTGAGGGTTCCGTGTAAGCGCCCGGACGACGAAGTTCTGCTGGCTCTTGAGGAGAGAGAGGGAGATGGACCTTCCCTGGACACCTGGGATAGTGTGTTAGATATGTATACACGGCAAACGACGCTGCAAACCTGACTCACCAGTGGCACCGTATACCACGACCACTTTCTGCAAAGGAGCCATGTTTCTGGACTAACAATGTCAGACAAGGAGGTTGAGATTTAAAATAAACGGATTATGCTTCGGGCGAGACACGCAAATGGAACTTGTAAGGTTGCTGAACGAAATTATGAGGAGAGGAGGTAGGTGTATTTGTATCCATCAACAGCGCCACCCCGCCAGAACGTCTACCCTTGCGGTGAGTTAAATTCGCACGCAGTGCGACTAGATTGGGGGAACGAGCCGGCGAGGGATGGGCTGTTCGGCTGACTCGAGGGAATTTGACCAAAACGGCGAATGGTTTCTGCATGTCGCATATGCATCTATGACAGCGATGCAGCTGCGGCTTTTCCAGTAATTGGCTTCGTCGACGAGGGAGGGAGAGAGTTCGTCTGCATGGTGAGACATCGAACACTTCGATTCAATGGACAGGCAGCGTGGACATGGTCGAAAAACCAGTTTTTGGGTCACAATTAATGACCTCAGTTCTTGGGAAGGCGACGCTCGCAGACGGATGCAGTCCACTGATTCGCCTTTTGTAGGTACCACCTCTTTTTGAAAGCGTACTTTAGTACATGTTCAAATCTGTCGGCTTCGACCGGACCTGGCCCGGCTGGATAGCATAATAGGGCATAGTAGTTTGTATCGAGCTCTCTCGAATAGAATCGACTTCGTGGGCCGGTTTAGGATATACGAGTAATACTACTTTACCACTGGAAGCGGAGCACAGGAAAGGATATCAGGTATGCTGAATGAGATAATAATACTACCAAATAATGCTTGTCCCACTAGCCCCTCTAATGCAATTACTGTATCTAAGTAGCCCGCTGCCCGGAACTAATACTACTAGTTATGTTCATCGTAGTACTGATTCGACAGTCAATTACATGTGTGAGATGTACTTTATATATAGTCGGAAACCATCTTCTGTTTGTCGCTCGGACCATCATTGCGTCGGGCGCAAGCCGCAAGTATGCCTTATCTAGGTTGACGCAGGATCAGTCTAAACAGTTGCGGGGATGAGGGGACAACTATTGAACGTTAACAATGTTCTGGTCCGGTCCACTGATGCCAGTGATGTGCGTCCCCTACATGATACATTTGAAAATGGATCGGTCCAGCCAACATGACCGGTCTGCCGCAGCGTTTTAGTCCTCCGTGCCAGCGCTCAATGAAATAGCAGGGGCAACGCACATCCAAAACCCTTAAGGTAGGACTGCCGCTGCAGGCGCGTTATTGAGGTTCATATCAGTCGGTCGAGAGTTGAGTACTCCATAGATAATTGTCTTCCCTATACCATGCCACGTGACTGTCCGTATCATCACGTGCAGATCTACCCGCTCACGTCACTGGCACCAGGCACCATCAACAACAGATCGCCAAACACACCAACACTACTAACTGGCACAGCTGCAACATCCGTCTTCTTGACGGATTCACCCGAATGACCCTCCAGTGACCTCATCCATCACAAGAAACTATATTATCCTTGAAGTCTGCGAAACCGAGCCATGGACTAATCCATTGTTGCATCATCATCTTCACACCAACGCTAGCAACAAAACTTGAGATCTTCGCAGCAATGGACGAGGTCAGCCCCATTGCCGAGCTCCTGGGCCAGGCAATCTACCAATTTACACAGATCAAACCTTTGTTACCAACCTACGGACATCTGCTTGTCTCTGCGCTCTTTCCCATCTACATCGGCGCCCATGCATCCCTGTCAAGACCGTCTTCGGCCGCGAAACCTGAGAAATCGGAGGAAGATGGAGACGAATCAGAAGAGGAAGAAGAAGCTGGTGGTATTCAGAAGATGGAGGGCCTTGCACCAAGTGATGCATTGATGTTTCCACTGACAGCTGGTTTAACCCTCGGGGGCTTGTATCTGGTCATTAAGCACATGGGCGCTGATCTGCTGAATAAGATTCTTGGCTACTATTTCTCCCAGATGGGTATGCTCTTTGCTATAGCCTTCCTAAAAGACTCTTTTGCTGTCGTGCGCTCATTCGTCTTCCCCCGCGAGTACAGCAGCTCTGGCAAGATTTGGAAGCGGAGATCCACCCAACGTGTCTTTGAAAGTGCTTCCGAAGGTGCCTCTAGATGGGAGTCTTCGGAGGTGGGAATCCGGAATTCTCCCCTCCCTGGGTTCTGGGGGTCAATCCCATTGCCGCATACTGCTCGTGCAGCACTCTGGACTTGCCGTGAAATAGTATATTGGCGCGCTAAGCTTAGAATCCATATACATCGTGTTCTCCGCACTGAATGCTGGCTTAGTATCTTGGACATTATCAGCATAGCTGTATCATTCCCTACAATTGGTTACTTCACTTTTGTGTCCAAACCATGGTGGTTGACCAACTTCCTGGGATTCAGTTTCTGCTATGGCACCCTGCAATTTATGTCGCCGTCTACCTTCATCACCGGATCGCTGATCCTGGGATCTTTGTTCTTCTATGACATCTATTTTGTCTATTTCACCCCACTGATGGTGACGGTTGCAAAGACCTTAGACGTCCCGATCAAGCTCCTGTTTCCGCGCCCTGCAGCGCCTGGGGAGGCACCCGATACTATCTCCCTTGCTATGCTGGGACTGGGCGACATCATCATTCCCGGTATGATGGTAGGCCTGGCACTCCGGTTCGATCTTTATCTCTACTACAAGCGCAAGGGCCAGCAAAAGGCGCGAGCAGAGGGCAAGGACTCAGAAATAGTCAAGCCTGTATATCAGTCCGCGCTGGGAGGATGGGGAGAACGGTTCTGGACCCGTTCAGTGGTACCAAGCAAGCCGCAGCTGGACCCTCCCTACCACAACGCCCGATCTTTCCCCAAGCCTTATTTCACCGCCAGTCTCATTGGATATGTCATGGGTATGCTTGCGACTCTGATCGTAATGCAGGTGTTTGACCATCCCCAGCCTGCGCTCCTGTACCTTGTACCTGGGGTTTTGATCTCTCTGTGGGGAACTGCATTGGTGAGAAAGGAGATCCAAGAGATGTGGGAGTTTAGCGATGCGGAAGAAGACGAGGAACAGGAGCCCACAGATGATAAGCAAGCAAAGGATTCGGTCGAGACTGGCGGGCAAGCATCTCTTTTCTCCCGGATATTTTCCAAATCTCATGATGCCGCGTCGAATAATGCTTCCAAGGAAACTGCAGAGAGACAGGCGTCGGAGGAATCCGCCAAAGACGAGGATGATACCACGAAGAACTTCGAGTTATTCACCATTTCCTTGTACTATCCTCGGAAGCAACAGCAACAGTCTGACAAGACTCAGAAGCCCACAGAGCGTGTTTCGTCCCCGGAGGACGATGAAAATTGGGCCATTGTTGGTGCTGACCGGGATGCTGAACCGCCCGCGAAGCGCCTGCGTCGGAGTCCCAGACATGCAGCCGACCAGAAATAAGAAGCTGCGCAGCCACTACCAAATCATGATCTCAATAACGCTATAGTGAAAATTGACCGTTAGATTGTTCCACTGCGTACATCTCTATAGTAGACCCGTATAGTATTTCTTAGGGATAAAAGACGCACGGGTGACCTCCCACGTGACCTTCCCCAGACATAGCGGTGCGGAGTAAGTACGGAGTAGTTCGGGAGTCTGTAGAATCCCCCGACAGCTTCACCTCAACTCCAATCCCGATACACCCAGTCACTCCTACATCTCCTCACCTCAATCGGGCACACGCCCCAATCTCACAGCCCAAGTGGCGCGGGATACTACCCTTCTCTCCCCCACTCAACACTACAACATGGACTTCTACACCTCCCCCCATAACCACACCAAGAACCCCGGATCGGCCGTCTCCCCAACCGCATCCGCAACCACATCGACCCGCGAACCCAAGCTTCAACTCCCCTCGACCACCGACCCACCGGGCCCCTCCAACCCCCCAAAGCCCCTAGTATGGCTCATCTTCGGCGCAACAGGCCATATGGGCCGCTCGCTCGTCAAAACGGCTCTATCGCGGAATGACCTCGTCAGCGCCGTTGGCCGCACCTTCGAAACCAGCCCCGCAGCCATGTCCAAGCTCGAACAAGAACACCCCAATAAGTGCCTCGGACTACTCTGCGACGTGCGCGCCCGCCCCACCGTCCAACGCGTAATCGACGCCACGATCGCGCGCTTCGGGCGCATCGACATTATCGCAAATTGTTCCGGGTACGGAGTAATCGGGGCGTGCGAGGACCAAGACGAATACGATATCCGGGACCAGTTCGAGACGAATTTCACAGGCACATTGAATATGATTCAGTTGTCGTTGCCGCATTTTCGGGAGCGTGGGGCCGGGCGGTACTTGATTTTCAGTTCGACGTCGGGGGCCCTGGGAGTGCCGGGATTGGGACCGTACTGTGCGAGTAAGTATGCGGTTGAGGGGTTGATGGAGAGTATGCTCTACGAGGTGGATCAGTTTAATATTAAGACTACGTTGGTGGAACCGGGGCATATGAGACGCGATGATGTGGGGGATTTGGTGGGTGGTGTTGAGGAGAGTATCTTTGGCGGCGGTGGTGGGTATGGCGCGGAGGAAGAGCAGGATAGTGCCAACAATTTGGCGCTGGGGTCACCGTTGCCGCTTTATGGCCATTTCTTGGTCAAGCCGCCGAGCGAGCCGTATAATACGCCTACGTCGCCGGCGGCGCATGCGAAGCGCATGCTCATGTGGTTGGGGGATAAGCAGCCGGCAAGTGCGGTTAAGGCGGCGCATTTGGTTTGGCAGTTGGGTCATTGCTCGTATCCGCCGTTGAGGCTGATTTTGGGGACGTATGCCGTGGAGAGTATTCGGGATCGCTTGAAGTGTATTATCGAGGAGATCGAGGATTGGAAGTACCTCAGTTTTCCGACGGGGGAGCAGCAGGGGCACCAGCAGGGGCACCAGCAGGGGCAGGGGAAGGAT